CGCGCCCGCCGCTGCGCTCCCTGCGGCGGTAGGGCCCGCGGCGCCGCTCTCGCAGGTGTTCGCAGCCACCGCCAGGCCGCCGGCAACCCCTGGGGCCCAGCCCCACACAGAGGCTGCCTGTGAAGGCGCCAGGGCTTCAGAGAGGCGGGCGAGGTGCAGGGGAGATCCGAAGCGGTTGAAAGCCTCTGCAAGGGGCTCCTCCTGCTGCTGCTGCTGCTGCTGCTGTTGCTGCTGCTGCTGCGCGTCTGCCGCCTCCAGCTCTACGAGCAGCGCCATCAGCCGCGCCCCGGCCAGCAGGCACGACGCGTGCAGGCTGACCAGCAGCTGCGCGGGCGGGGCCCCCGCGCCGCCGTCGCCGCCGCCGCTCAGGCCCGCCGCCAGCAGCCGTGGGAGGCTGGACGAGACGAGTTGATCAATATCCAACAGGGCCGCCCTCCAAGCAGCCGCAGCCCCTGCAGTCGCGCGTGCCACCGCCCCCACGGCCACTTCGGGCTGCTCCAGCTGCACCGCCGCCGCCCCCGCAGCGGGCGTGGCCGGGGCCGCGCCTGCTGCCGCCTGCAGCGCCGCCGCCGCCTCCCGCCAGACGTCTGACGCCACAGGGCCACTCCGCTCCTCGGCTTCGCCCCCGCCCCCGCTGCCGCCGCTACAGTCTGGGCCGAGATCATCCGCGGCAGCGTTCCCGCCCACCAGTGCCGCCACGCCGCCGATCATGTCTCGCAAATCCGAATCGACGCCGTCGGCGCCGGGGTCGCGCTCCGAGACGAGCCTCGGGGCGCGCGCCGCGCCGCGCTCGCCGGGCGGCAGCCACGCTGAGAGCGCAATCGCGGCGTCCGGCGGCGGCGCGGCGGTGGCATCAGATTCGGCCCCGCCGTCCTCCCCTTCGGACCCCGACTCATCTTCGGTATGAACCTCCTCCGAGTCCTCGTCTTCGCAGCTGTTGTCGACACCGTCGCCGCCGCCGCCGTCGCCGCCGCCCCTGCCGCGAATGGTGATTGCAAGCTGCGTTTCAATTGCCCCCAGCGGCCGCCGCCACCCAAGCAGCAGCCAGATCAGCAGCTCCAGGCCCGCGTGCACGCCCGCCATGGCGGCCGCGCACCGCCACGCCGCGCCGCCACCCGAAGCGTGGCAGTTACCCGCGTGCAGCACGCGGGCGGCGGAGGCCAGCCAACCGGCGAGGCGCGCCGCGGCGGCGCCCTGCTCTGCCGCGGGCGCGGCGGCGGTGAGCGCCAGCAGGGGTGCGAGGCGGTTTGGCGCCAGGAGCCAGGCCAGGGCCTCGAGAGCGCCCTCTTCTTCATCAGGCGCCTCGCCCTGCTGCTGCTGCTGCTGCTGCTGCTGCTGCTGCTGCTGCTGCTGCTGCTGCTGCTGCTGCTGCTGCTGCTGCTGCGCGGTCTCAAACGCACTGGTGTTGGAGCAGCGCAGCAATGCCGCGTCCAAACCGCAGGCGACGCCGTCCCACGCATCGCCGAGCAGGCGAGCGCGCTCCGGGCACAGGAGCCCGCCCCGGGCAGCTGCGCCCAGTGCCGCACGCGCCGACAGCCGCAGCGTGGCACGCGGCCGCGCGTGGCCGCAGCGGCGCGGCGGCGTGGGGCCAAGCAGGGGGCCGCATGCCGGCGCGAGCGCGGGGCCCGGCTTTGCCGCGGCCGCCGCCGCGGCGGCGTCCTCAAGCTGCCGCTGCAGCCGCCGCTCGTGGGGGCAGTCCGCGAGCAGGCGTGCGCCCACCGCCGCCACCGCCGCGCGCACTAAAAGCGGGGACGCCCCACCTTCCCGCAGCTCCCCTACCAACTGCTCCAACAGCACCCCAGCAGCCGCACGCCACGCGGCACGCTCCCCGCCGCCGCCGTGGCCGGCGTGCTCGGGCCGGCGCTGCTGCTGCTGCTGCCGCGGGCCGGGCGCGGCGTCGGCGGCGTCTGGGAATATGAGCGCCATGAAGCCGCCGCCGTCGTCGCTGTCGCTCTCGCTATCCAGGCCCCCGGCAAACGGCGAGTCCGCCAGGGGCGCCCCGGCCGCCGCAGCATCCGACGAGCGCCCGCGCCGCGCCGCGGACGGGTGCCGCTGCTGCCTCTGCTGGTGTTTGTGCCGAGCCTCAGGGCCGAGGCGCCCCGAGACAGGGAGTCCCTCCAGCCGCCGCCACGCCCGCAGCAGGCCGGCGCCGCACGCGCCCCCGCGGCGCAGCTCCCCGCCTCGCCGCTCCTGCAGCTGCGCGAGCGCGACCAGCAGCAGCGCGGCGCCTGCGGCCGCGCGGTCGCCCGCGGCCGCGCCTGCTGCCGAGCTGCCGTTTGACAAGAGGTCCCCCCAGCAGCAGAGGCGCTCGCCCTGAACCAGCCGAGCCAGCGCCGCCAGGCCGTGCGGCCGCAGAGCCGCGGCGAGCGCCCGCGCCTCCTCGCCTGCCGAAAGCGCTCCTCCAGGGGAGAGCAGGCCTGCAACAGGCGCACCGCCGCCCCCCACCACCGCCGCCAGCGCAGCCGCCCCGTGCCCGCGCCCGAACACGAGCGCGCCGGCGACGTCGCGCCGCCAGCCGGCCGCGTCTGCGGGCCGCGCGGCCCCCAGCCGCTTGGCGGCGGCGATCAGGCCCCACACCACGCGGGCCGCGGCCTCGCAGCCGTCTGCGTCCTCGTCGCTGGCCCGCAGGCTTTCTCCTGCCGCAGCCACCAGATTGCCAAGCGCCTGGGCCAGCCCCTCAAGCGGCAGCGCGGCAGCATGGCGGAGGACTGGGAGAGCAGCAGCGTCACCACCAGCGGCAGCAGGAGCACTACTAGCGGCAGCGGCGGCAGCAGCAGCGTCTTCGAGCTCTCGCGCCCCGCGTGCC